GAAACTGAAACAAGTTTCTGACTAGTCAAGGGTAATTTGGTTATTTCTCAGTCCACGGAGCTCCAAATTAGGTAATTCTTGATGCATTGGAAAGCTAACTCAAAGGGCTACAACTTTCATGTTTTATATAAGAGCTAGTTCAGCCTCTAACATAGAGAAAATATCAGTTGAAGTGGATCAAAAACAGGGCAAGCGATCCGAACCCGGATCCAATATGATCCGAGCCCTCGTCTGATCTTCTGGACAAGTGGATCCGAGACCAGAGGATCCGAGCTTGGATCCACTGTAGCAGGCCTCGGATCCCAATGAACAATGAAGGTAAAAAATGAAGAAAAATGCGATCTGAGAGGTAATTTGAGAGATCCAAGCTCGGATCTAGCCCTCCGATCACTACTTTCGGCTTATCAACTTGTGTTCTGTTCACACAAGCTTTTTGACCAACCTTTCCTGCAAGATTATCGGTGGAAACAGCCCAAGACAGTTGCAAAAGAAGCTTTACAACTCTATTTTAGCTTGTTTATGGGCTCAATACATGATAAAGTTGAAAAATTAAAACTCCATCTTAACATGGATATGGTTACTTGGATTTCTCCACGTTTGTTCAAACTTCTATGCTTATCTACTGTTATTTCAAACACTTTACTGTACTTCTTCCTGCACGTTTTTGGCTCTAAATCTACTTGCGAAGAAAGGTCAGCATTTCAACTATTTGCCAAAGGTTTGTAGTCTAATATTTTTAGGTTTGAATACGTTCTCAGGTTCTTCTAATATATATATTTTTTTGGGTTTGTTGGAGTCATCTAATATTTTAGGTTTCAATTCATACTTAAATATTTTTTTAATCTTTTTGCAGATTTCTTTCCAAGTTTCGACATTTTGTTTTTTGCCAACTCGAGATTCTTTTCCTGTGAGTATTAGATGCATTATACTTCCATAATCTGTTTATCTTTTATTTTCGTTTATAAGTTTTTCCTACATATATTGTTGAATAAATTTTCATTCTTTTATACTTTTTCACCTTTTTGGTTTGACTATTGTACATGTGCATATTTCTCAACTATTCTTCATTTATTTCTTAGTCTATCATATTTTTCACTAGATCATATGATTCACGACGGATGTGTGTGCATTGATCACTAATATGAATATAAGCGAATGCATCATTAACTCCTAAATAAGATGGATTGCTTTAGACCAAGCTTTAATGACCATCTAAATGCAAATTTCTTTACTTTTTTCTTTTTTTCTTTTGTAAATTCCTTATTTTTAATTGATCCAGAGAATAATGTACACTATAGAAGGGATTGTCCCTTAGTCAAATACATCAAATCAAGAAAAGAAACCTGTAATCTATACTACAAGTCTATAGAGTGTCATCAATGATGCAAAGGAATATCAAATTTAGCGCATAGCTTTAAAGTTTCCTGCTTTCTGTCCATCTTTTTCCATCTTATTACCAGGCCTCGAACATCCTTAAGAATATGAACTATATACTTAGGAGAATGCAATATTCTTTTTTCCTTTTAGCAAACCAAACAAAAAAATTTTGAATTAGCTAATTTTTTTGTCTTTTTTATTTTTTTCTCTCTCTTGGATACCCATCTAATATAATTTGAAACATAAAAAATTTAATGGACTGATCTTACTAAAAATTAGATAAATTCTTCGAACTATTTATTAATAAGAATTAATCTTCTAATACACTGACAGTGTATACACTATTAACTTTAGATAAATGATAACTATTCAAAATTCAAATTTAAAATTTAACTATTGCACATGTATCATGGATCTAACAATAGTGATAGTACATTCTCCATCAGTGTATATAAGATCTACTCTTATTATAATTAGTTTTTTTTTTGCAATTACATAAATCCTAATTTGGGACTCTAGTCATTACCAATTGCCTTGGTTGGAGTTGTTAAGCGTGGACGTATACAAGTTAATTTAACTTGCAACATTTACATGAGCAACACAGTTGTAAAATTCTTGTGATTTATTGTGCAATAGAAATTTCCACAGTACTTGTACTTCAGAATTATCCATGACAACAGTTTACGAAATTTTTTTTGGTGCGCTCCAATGATCTCCAACTCCGAAGAATGAAAAGCATGTTTGACAACATTATCCATGCTCGTTAATCTTGTCTTAATGTCTCCCAAAATTTTTTTTTTAACATGAATAACATTGGGCCTATAGGCCATAACAAGATTCTTTGAAGAGTTATGTATGTTAAGTAATTCACTACCAATATTTTATAGATATATAAGACTTAATGGCTTATAATGTGGCCAAATTGCTGTTATGATTCTAATATCTTAGATATTATTATTGTTGTTGTTGCTGCTGCTGCTGCTGCTGCTGTTATTATTATTATTATTATTATCCCAATCTGTCCTTCAAATCAGACAGTAAATTTTCTAGCTATAATGTGCTTGCGTATCTTAACACTGAGATAAAATACGAGAATTTCAAGAACTTATACTTGTTCTTCATTAAAGCAATTATATTGATCTAATTATTGAGGAAAGCGACTTATTGAAACGTACTTTCTAGCATTTATATATAAGCCTGGTTAAATAATTTTTTTGTGTTTCTAATAATTGGTCTTACCAATTATGAAAGTTAATCAAAACGGATTCGTTGTGGAAAAGATAATTTGACTGGTCCATGATGGAAAAAAGCTCGCATGAGGTAAGATTTTGTTTATTAACAAGTTCAACAAACCCCATGTTGGAACTCATTTGGTCTTTTGGAACACATGCTAAAGCTGGCAATGTTGTATTACCGTTTTCTTTTTTTTTCTTAGTTCTTGTGTCTGCATATAAGTAAATATAAGTAGGGGTATTCATGGACTAGATAATTAGTCCATTTGCAATTTTGCTAACCCTAACTGCAAGTAAAATTGCATTTCATATCCTAACCTTATTCAATCGATTACCCTGTAAGATAGGATCAGGTATACAAGATAACCTAACCCTCTTATACATGTAGGAGAAAAAAAATTAAATTAACAAAGAAAACAACACTGCAGTTCTTTAAGTTAATAAGAGTATTTAATCCTACAACTCTAAAAACTACCAACAAAATAGAAAATCAAAGAACAATAGATAATTAAAACATAAAATATTTTGAACATTTATTTTCATCTTCCCTACTTCTTGAAAACTATTAATTCATTTTCTATTAAAGATGATAGACTGCTTCATTGCTTCACAACCAAACATGTAAGCTCTAAAAAATTAAAAATAAAAAGTAGAGTGGTGAAGTGGATCGAAATTATGAGAAAGGAAAAGAAATTTTGAAGAAAAACAAAAAAAATAGAATAGAAGAATAAATGAAATTAGTGGCAACAAATGTAGGAAACAAAAAAAGTAAATGGAAGAAACGGTTAAATATACAAATTTACAAGTTGTGAAAAATAAAATATATAATGGCTTGGGTCTTGTAACTTAAATTATTAGTAAATGACTAAATAATTATGGTTGAGATTTGGATGCTAATTATCTTAACTAACCTTACACATATGCCAATAGGTTCAAGTAACCGTGGTTTTTGTAAATGGAAAACCATATTCTAACCAAAATTTTCAAGTAGATTCGGGTAACCTAACAATTTTTAAAATTACGGGTTAGTTATCATATTTTTTGGTTTGGATCAATTCGGTTTTCTCGATTACCCGCTTTTTCACTTCTTTTTTAACACCCCTACATATAAGTACAAAAACCAATTATTGTTCGCGCTGAAAGATTTGAATAATTTCCCCAAAAAGAAGAATTTACTAAATTTCTACCAAATGAATTTGTCTACAAAAATTCAGACAACATTAGTTGGAAACAGATGGACCCTTAATATGTTAGTTTAGGACAAGGGGCAGGTGCAACCGTTCCTGGCGGTTTTGGTCATTTTCAACAGCGCGTAACTTTGGTTGCACACGGCGTAACTTTGTTTGCACAACGTGTAACTTTAGTACAAAATTTTGTGGGTCCCACACACGTTGTGAAAATTGATGTACAACTAGTGATTTGAACCGCACATTTTTTTTTTGGCCAAAATTTGGCCGTGAACAGTTCAGGAGCGGTCATCAGGTCATTCAGGAGCGCTCCTGCCCCTCATCCGTTAGTTTAAGGATAACTTCTTCTTGCGTAGCCAATAAGTCAATCATTTTGGAAATTTTCGAAGAGGTATAGAAGTCAACGGATTAAGAAGAAGAATTTACTAAATTTCTTCCAAATGAATTTGTCTACAAAAATTCAGACAGCATTAGTTGGAAACAAATGGACCCTTAATATGTTAGTTTAAGGATAACTTCTTCTTGCGTAGCCAATAAGTCAATCATTTAGGAAATTTGGAAGAAGTATAGAAGTCAATGGATTGAGAAGAAGAATTTACTAAATTTCTACCAAATGAATTTGTCTACAAAAATTCGGACAACATTTAGGAAATGTTGGAAGAGGTACAGTAAATTCTTTTTGAAGAAGTCAATCATTTAGGAAATTTTGGAAGAGGTATAGTAAGTCAATGGATTGAGAGATCAATGGATTGAGAGGTTTAGGAATCAGTATGGCAAGTCTCTCTCTTTTTTTTTTCTTTGAGCCGGTATGTTAAGTCATTATCATAGGTGTGGTAATATGGTAAGTCGTTGCTTACAAAAAAGGGGGAAAAAAATAAGGTAAGTCATTGGATTGAGAGATTTAGGAAAATTTATGGTGTATATATCAAGCATGGCTCTGACAATTAAATCTGTAACTAAATACATATTACTACTTACCATATACATGGCAGTAACAAATGGCTATAATATCTTACCATATTAGCTCTACACTTACCAAAAAACAAAAACAAACAAAAGGATATGTTTCAAATCATCATAATCCCAACAATCAATAATGTTATTTGCAAGATCTCTGGTATTAATTCTGACCCATTCAACATCTGTATATATAGCAATGGCCATTTGGAACTAGAAACAACATAGCATCAGCAAACTACCATATCCATCCTTCCCAATCTTGACTTGCATCCTTGCTTTTCCCCTTTAGCCATGACTAGGAAAAAGGTAAAACTGGCTTTCATAACTAATGATTCGGCAAGAAAAGCAACCTATAAGAAAAGGAAGAAGGGTCTGCTGAAGAAGGTAAGCGAACTCAGCACCCTTTGCGGTGTTGATGCTTGTGCAATTGTATATAGTCCATATGAATCTGAACCTGAGGTTTGGCCTGGCCCGGTGGGAGTTCAACTCGTGATTTCACGGTTCAAAAGAATGCCAGAAATGGAGCAAAGCAAGAAGATGGTGAATCAGGAGGGCTTCATCAAGCACAGGATTGCCAAAGCCAATGAACAGCTGAGGAAACAATGCAAGGAAAATCGGGAGAAGGAGATGACTGAGGTGATGTACCAATGCTTGACTGGAAGAGGTATACAGGACCTGATGATGGCGGACTTGCATGATCTGGGGTGGCTTGTTGATCAGAATGTAAAGAAGATTGAGAAAAGAATTGAATTTCTCAAGAAAATGGCTCCTCCTCAACAAGCTAAGCCGCCAACAACACCACCAGGGGAACCATCAATGCCTGTGGATGGGATTCCAAGGACTGGCTGGTTCAACCAGTGGATGAATAACCCTGGTCAAAACAAGGGTTCTGGTTCTGGGAATGAGATGACTATGAAATTCCATGAGAATCACAATTTTATGTGGTCTAGTGCCTTTTTTCCTTGAAAAATCATGCATGGATGTTGTCTTGTAGAATTCTCTGAGGTTTTCATCTCTGGTTTAATTAGTGTTGCAATGTCATAAAGTTTGTTAAGTTAGTGTTTGTGGGTGTTCTTCTTGGTGTAATGTATATGTGGGGAAGGAGCCTATGTTCTATTTTCTACCTGAAAATGCTTGGGATTCAAGCCCAAGTACATTTGGGATCATGAATCCATTAATAAGACGAGTAGGAATTGGAATATATATGGACTCTTATTAAGCCTATATAAATGTTAAACTTTTTCTCAAAAAACCTGTTTGCTTCTTTTATCTTTGTTTCTATTTTATTTTCTTGTTGTCCTTCTACAATTTTTCCACCCCCACCAACTTGCCATCCCCTTCGCTATTCGAGATAATCAACAACTACCTTACCACACAAAATTGGGCAAGATGTTGGACTCTAGTGAGATAGAATTATGCTACGCTTTGTTGAATTAAATAAGAAGGGTTCAGCTAACAGTAATCGAAAGCAAGAAATAAGAAATTTACATAAAAAATAAAAAGTGCAACTATGAGAATTTATTTAAAGGGGCCATGTAGCAATAAGGGTGAGAACAAATTTGAACCTAAACCAAATAAGCATTGTTTTCAGACTCGATCCGGATCGATTAGTCAAATTGGTCAAATCGAAACCGGCCAGGCAATCGGCCGAATCAGTATAAAAACTCGGTAATTAGAAAATCAATAAAACCCAGTCAACACCCGGGTCTAACCGGTGAACTGGTGTAGTTGTATTAAATCCGGTTTCCCCTTCTTCTTTTTTTTTTTTGCCAATTTTTTTTTTTTAAACTTTAAGACTTTCTTTGGTCTTCCATTTGATCCATTAAAACAAGCAAAAAAGAGAGAAAAAAAATGCAAAAATTGCAAAGTTTGCCAAACGAAATCTTTGTTGGTAACCTAGCGCTTCTCAAAGGTTGCAGCCGCCTCTCCTCTGGAAATTTTCAGACTTCAAGCTTGCATTGCTGCCATCTCCTTCGAAGTTCGGACTTAAACTTCAAGGGTCAAGCATGAGTAGAAGAAGCAGGTTGAATTTTTCTCAAAACTTCTATTAGTTTTGCCCCTTTTTCAGTTTTTGTCTTGCACTCAGCACTCGGCAACGTCTTCTATTAGGTTGGTCTTATATTTGTAAAACTTCTATTAAGTGGCTTGGCGGCCGCCTTGTATGGACGTCTAAATTGCGTAGAAAGCAAAAACCCCAATTTTCCCCCTTTTTTGGGTTGTTGGGGTTTTTTTTTTTTTTTTTTGGCTTTTTTGGTTGGTTGTTACTTGTTACTGCAGGTGTGGACTGAGGAAGGATGATTTCATATATATCACTCTCTTGGATAGTCTACTGCTTCGACTTTGCTGATTGCTCTTGCGCATGGAATTCTTATTAGATATGTTGGTTTGTCAAATGATAAAGCTATATACATTTAAGTGTTTGATAAGTTTCCTTTTTTTTTTTGGAGCACTCTCCCAAGATACACATGTTGATTGGAGCACAATTTATAATTGCTGCAACAAGTTGAATATTGGTTTTGCTGGTCTGCTTAAAGACCCTGCTGTTCCTCTCCTGCCATAAGTGCCAAACCGTCGCAATTATACATATAACACCAATCTTGTTCCTTCTAAGATTTCGATAAATGATCTCTTCAGCTTTCTTACGTCCTAACTCCAAGTTTTCCAATAGTCAAGCCGAAGGTAACAACATAGTCTACCAAAGAGCGTACAATGGCAGAACAACAATGACACCATTCCATCACCAAACTCGGGAAAAATTCTTTGAAAGAACTCAATGTTAGGAGCTCACCAGGTATTTTAGTGTAATGTAAAGTTTAAACTTCATGTTAGAATAAGACATATATACATGCTGCACTAGACATATATAGCTAGAACGAAAAAAATAGACAAAGAAGTTATATATCAAACCTAAATGAACTAGTATAAAGTAACATATCCATTGGGGCAATTTTATGCTAAGCCTTTTTGCTTGGGGTTTTTTTTTTTTTTTGTTGGTTGTTAAGGGTAACTCCTACCAATTATAGGAGGCTTTTTCACTTCCCTTAAGAATAGTTAGTGGCGCAACTGCAGAGTATTATTTTTACCGTTCAAATCCGAACCGGATTTTGGACTTTATTCATTGTCATTAGAGGTGACAAAATGGGTGAGATGGGTAGGTTTTATTTGAGTTTGAGATAGGACCGAGTAACATGGGTTTAGGTCCAACCTTACCCATATGTATTTTGGAACTAATTTGAACGGGATCACTTTGGGACGGGTTTAGATTGATCCCGCCTAATATCCAAGTTTATTTTTTGTTTTTTTTCCTTTAATTCTTTTTTATTTTTTTATATAACTTATTTTTAATCTTTGATTTCCAATGTTGCTAAATTTTAGTTGAGGCAAAAATAAGTCCTATAAACACTCAAAAGTACTTGTATTTATGAGTATAAAGAAATGGCGTTTGGAACTATGAGCCATCATAAAATGACCAAAATTGGACAAAGTATTTTCTAATAAGATTACAGATTAATGACTTCCATATTACTCCAATATTCATTTTGGTTAGTATTCTATTAGAAAAGAAGTTCAAAACCATTTACAGGATTAAAAGAGCTCCCACCAGCCCTGTTTGGGCCCTCTTTAGCCTAACTACACAACCATCGAGTTCCCATCTTAAAACAAGAAGTTTTTTTTCAACATTTTTCAAAAAAGTACTCTAAATTAAGACTGGCAACAGAATTTTTACGAAAAAGGAGAAAAAACTGATTTCTTAGGGACAAAAGAATTCAAGAAACTAGATGAGGGTTTTAAGCATAATTACAAGAAAAAAACTGAAGGATCTAACTGGAAGAATAAAAATGGTTCACTTGAGTCAGTAAAAAATATACAATAATTGATAGGATAAAATTTTGGTGAGATATTTGGACCCCAATGGGTACCCAAGTATTTTTCAAAAATTTTCATCAATTAATAGGTATCAATAGGATTAATCCCATTTCAAGTCCAACATCAAAATTAGAATACCCATCATGCCCAAAGTCCCTCTGGGTTGGGACTTGGGACAAATTGCCCCTCTAATTGTAATTTTTTAAAAAAGTTTTTGAAATGAATAGTTCACAAGATTGAGTTAATGTTGATCTAATTTGAATCTTGAAAAGCATAGTGTGATTCTGATTGCAAGGGGAGCAGAGTAGGGACGGTTGATCTGTCAACCGTTCAACCATCCCTGAATAGTGTAACATTTTTTAAACTTTATGTAAATTTCTTATACATCCTTTTTTAACATTTTGTAACTTTATGTAAATTTCTTATACATCCTTGCAATAGAGGTGTGATATTTTGTCACTGTTCATGTAGGTCACATATGTAATAATTGTGTCACTGTTGTTAAGTTTTACAACTAGTTCACATAGATTTACACTTTGTTCAAAAAATATTACATCGTTCAGAGCCGTTGTTACTATATACCTTGATAATCATTTAATGGGTCATATAATGTGTATAAAATGCCAACTTCATTTCAAACGCAATCGATAACCTATTAAAATGCCAAAAAAATCAACTTAGTTTACAAAAAATATATATTTCTTATACTTTAAAGAGATATTTAATTAAAAAAGAAAAAGAAGTTTAATTAGAATTCTTTTTATCCATTTATACTCTTTCATTCTAATTTGCATTTTAATTTATGTTAAAACCCTTAAAATCACTACTTAAAGTTTAGGAAAACATAATGTTTTAAAATCTTGTGGAACAAAAGTGCAAAGTCAGTTATTTTTGTTAGTTAGTCAATGTTCTATTTTTGTTAGTTATCCTATATCTATTTAAAATTACAAGTTTTGGGGACTAAATTTGTTTTAGTTGAAAAATTGGGGACCAATTTGACATATATGCCAAACATTGAGGATCAAAACTGCAATTCTTCCAATAAAATGTATTTCATCCTTTATCTATAGGCAAATACTTGGTAGACCTAATCTATGGCCCTACCCGTAGACCAAGTAATGCACAATTTGCCACATTGTCAAATGGAATTGGATTAGAAACTACAATCTTTCCTCTTGGTTTCAACACTTTTTTTCTTCTTCACCTTTGGTGTGTTTTAATTAGTTTTATAGCTTATGAACTAGATTTCTAGTGAAAATATGCATTTTGTGGTTTAAGTGGTAAAAATTACATTTCTATGGATTTTAATAGTGAAAACTTCATGTTTTTGTAGGTTTAATGATTCAATCATCAATTGGAGAGATTTGAAAAGATAATTGGATGACTATTGATGATTTGAAGTGATTTAAAGAAGACATGAAGTGCAAAATATTAAAAAAATGAAATGCAAGTTTTCCAGTTTTGACACATTTTAGAATTTCGACTATATATTGAGCTACAAGCATTGGATTAAGCTGATTCTTGTATCATATTGAACCTAAGAGATAAATCTACAATTGATATGAGACATCGAAGTCCAGTTTAGCCGTTTTCCTTGTCAAAATGTCAAAATACAAAAATATATTTTCATTGTTGAAAGCTGAAATAGAGTTCTGACCAGTTGGGGTATTGTAGTCATTTCTTGGTCCACAAAGCTCCAAATTGGATGATTCTTGATGTATTGGAAAGCAACTCAAAGGGCTACAACTTTTATGTTTTACACAAGAGCTAGTTCAGCCTCCATCATGAAGAAAAGATCAGGGGAAGTTGGTATAAAAACAGAGCAAGGATGAAATCTGCCCAAAATGAGCAAACCTAGAAAAAAAAAAAAGCAAAACGGGGGGTCAAAACACGAGCTAGGCCGCGCTTTCTTGCCCGCATTTTAATGAATTTCGGCTGTAACTTGCTCTGAAACTTGTACACTTTTCACACAACCTTTTTGACCACTTTTTCTGCAAAGATTCCGGCTGGAAATGATCAGATAAGCATGGAAATTTTGAGAAGCAATCTTTGAGAGTTTCAAGAAGCAATTTCACTAAATAAAAACAACTCATCTTGAGCTTGAGTCTTTCTATAAAAAGAGGCCAAAAAGAACATTTTCACAACTTTAGTAGGCTAGAGAAACTCACCAAAAATGTAGTCTTCACTAGAATTTCCTTAGTTCATTTGTTAGGGACTTAGGATAGATTAATATAGTTAGTATTGTTCATTCTTCTTGTACTAGTGGTTAAACTAGGATGAAGATTAAAGAGCAACATGGAGAGTTTGATCTCATGTGACGGAGGTGATATCTCTTCTACTATTTTCTCTCTTGTATTTGTTTTCATGCTTAGTTATTAGACAAGTTTGGATTTGTGTTTCAATGTGTGTTTCTAAAGTTTATGCCTAGAGTTATGGATGAACTTTCTATATCTTGTTAGTGATATTCCTTTGGTTATTTGGTGATATTATTTTGATCAAGTTATTTATCACTTTTACTTTTCTAATCATGATTAACCGGCCATTAATTGTGATAATCTCAAGGTGTTAAGTCTGCAATAAAAATTAAAATTTAACACTAGTTCAAAGAAGTGATAAACTTAGGGAGTACACTCACGAAAGTAGAGGTGCATCTTTGTGGCTTTAATGACTTGTTTCATATGATTTCATAGAAGAAATGAACTTGTAATTAATTTCATAACCACGAGAGTACGTATGACTTAGTTACAAGTATAGTTGGTTCACTACGAGAGTAGGTTTCATATACATTAGGAAATTACATTATAACTAGCCAAAATAATAGCATTCACTTAATCGGTAATTTCATTTGCAAGAGTAGTTAAGAATTGCATACTTCTAGAAGCATTCTATTGTTATTTATATTACTTTTATCTCATAATTATAGTGTAGAACTAATTTCTTACATTTGTGGTAGTCTAAATAATAAAGAAGTTCGAAAACCATCGGTAATTGACAATCTTCTCTGTGGGATCGACACCTAATACCTTATACTCAATTGTGATTCGTATACTTGCGAAAAATCACGTGTAGGGTATCTAGAAATTTATGAATGTAAAATTTGATTGTGGATGAGCTAATTATTATATGCATACCCTGCGCTCGTCAATCTTCTCCTCTGTACGGTCCAAAACCTACCAATTCCTCCACCACAACCTTTATCTCCTCCTCTTCCTCTATTCTCTTCAAATTCAGGTGGTGGCGATGGTTACTAACTCTGAACCAGTCAAATATTAATACCTCTTTCTCTTGCAACTGAATTTCTTAGAATAGAGGCTCAAGAGTTTTCATAAACCCACAAGGTAAATTCTACCACCATAAATACAAGAATAAGAAAAGAACATCATCGCATGGCTGCCCATTGATTCGTTGGGTGGAGCAAATCCATTGCCAAAGAGGGCTTTATGCTGAAATTCAAAATCAACACAGCAGCAAATCCATTGATATGATAAGAGAAGTCTTACAACCAAGAACTGCATAAACCATAAGAGAGCTGCTCTTCCTATGTTTTTATAGTTGAAGAAAATAGTGCCCTTATAGAGTTGCGCCAGCTGCTTGAATTTATTAGTTAGAATTTATTTTCTGCTGAATAATGCCACCAAAATTGTTGATTACAGAGAGAAGGGAAGTTAAACATACTTGGATGAAATTAGAAATCCGAAACCTTTTTTGTTTATCGTTAGTAATTGTACTAGGAATTTTGGGTTGGAATTATACTAGTTTGGTCAAGAAGCGAACTAGAAGTGAAAAAGTAGAAAAAGAGAAAATGTAATTCCCGCACATTCAGTGCCGGGTAATGATGTGGCAAAGTTTAGGTTGCTCAGTCTACGGGGTGAGGTCGTAGACCGGATCTACCCAAGATAAGGCAAAAATTTGAGTAGACCCGGTCTACAGGAAGACGGCCCAAAATCTGCCACATCATTACCAAGTGTAGAAACTAGGCTTTTTCTCCTCCTGCTTTCTCACTTCTAGTTCGCTTCTTACCCAATCTAGTATAATTCCAACTGAAAATTCCCAATACAATTACTAACAATTTTAAATGTCTAATTTCATCCAAGTATATTTAACTCCCCTTCTCTTTGCAATCAACAATTTTGGTGGCATTAATGAGCAGAAAATGAGTTTCGACTAATAAATTCAGACTGCCACCGCAACTCTGTAAGCGCATCTTTTTCTTCAGTTATAAAAACATAGGCAGAGCAACTCTCTTATTGTCTATGCAATTCTTGGTTGTAAGTCTTCGCTCATCATATCAATGGATTTGCTGCTGTGTTGATTTTGAATTTCAAAATAAAGCCCTCTTTGGCAACGAATTTGCTCCACCCAACAAATCAATGGCCAGCCATGCGATGATATTCTTTTCTTATTCATGTGGTTATGGTGGTAGAATTTACCTTGTGGGTCTATGAAAAATCTTGAGCATCTATTCTGAGAAATTCGATTGCAAGAGAAAGAGGTATTGATATTTGACTAGATCGGAGTTAGTAACCATTGCCACCACCCGAATCTGAAGAGAATAAGAGGAAGAGGAGGAGATTAAGGTGGTGGTGGAGGAAGGGGTAGGTTTTGGACCATAGGCAGGAGAAGGTGAAGAAAAGAGATAGCGTTAAACCCAAGAGAAAAGATTCTACTTCTAATCCAATTCCTTTTGATAATGTTGTACTCTCTTGTTATGTTCTGGATTTTTTCAGCAACTTTTGTACTTATTTATTCTCTTCTTTTTAGATGTCATCAATATTTCAAAAGCAACAAGTTTCCACAGGACAACACCAAATTTAAGATGGACAGACTAGTTGTGAGACCACACACAATTGAAGCTTACCAAAAGGGGTGGTATATTCTCATGAAACTAAATAAAAGCTCATCAAAACATGACATCTTAAGTATCCTGAACGAGAGAATTAGTGCCTCTAGGAGGTCATATTCATGATATACGACTTGAAATAGTTGATAAATTTTCAAAAATAATTCTTTAAACTAGACAGTATAGCAAGAAGTGCCCTCTAATCACTATATTGTCAAGAAATATGCACACAGATGCAAAAAATCTTGCTAGCCTGAGAAAAAGGATTCCATCAGACCAAGGAACTTTAATCAGTTCTATCTGGCAGAAAAAAATCTGATGCACGAATCCGTTGATTTACAAACTCTACTCACACTTGATGGATCTGTAAATGTGACGAACAAATACCAGAGCTGCTCGAAAACCAACAGCCCCGAGCATGAGGAAGAAACCGTAACAGATGCAAGCCATGTATCCAAAGAAAAATGAGGTTTGCATGAAACCAGACATGTCAGATCTGGCATGGTAGTAGTACAAGCAGTAACTGTAGATGAAGATTCCTGTTGATCCTCCACAGAGAAATGACCTGTGTCAAGAAAATGGATTGCTGATTAGTGAACAGATTAGCACCATTTGCAAAATGAGTGCAGCCAAATGGATCTAATGAACTAACTACTAATCATTATGGCAAGTCTTCTGCAAGTAAAACGAGCAAATTATCACTCAGCTACTGCTTCTGGCTAGTTGTAAGGAACAGTTTAGGAATTAATCGATTGGTTTTGTTGAAGAAAAATCCTGACTTCGTCACATTCTACCCTCTAAGAGTTTAAGTACGATCTGATTATCTGATCTATAAGGAGACGGAATCAGAACAAGAAAAGGAAGATTTTGTTTCAAGGGGTGGATGTGGTTTTTTTCCAAAGTATGCGGAAGTTTGCTTGGGCAGTTTATAGAAACTGCTAAAGACTGGAAATGATAATTCCATATAGGACAACAGTGGAGATATTATCAAATTGCAATAATGAATTGTTAGAACTTCAGATTAATTTATTTGCACCAGGATTAATATTAGAAATTCGGATTACACAATTAGCAGCAGGATTAAGAGATGGTTTTGTTAATTGATGAAACAGGCATCTAAGAAAACCTTTAGAACACATGTACCTTTCAACCTCTAGAGTTTTTTGGGAAGCTGTATTTTTTCAATCAATGTATGTGAAAACTATGTCTTTAATTTTGTTGTTTCAGTGAAAACTATAAAATTCAAGACGAATGAGCACTCGGTAGACTAATTACTTCAGTGAGATAGAAAACACAGAAGATGGAGTTCATAGCATACAAATGTTACAAAAAAAAAAAATAAAAGAAGTTGAACATATGAGGTGCAAGAAACAATCTACCTCCACCACCAATTATGATCTTCAGCAGCAAGCTGGAAGTATGTCAATGCCACAGTGACAAAAGCGGTCACGATGAGGAGAATGATGAAGACAATGAACAGGATGCTGTAAATTGTGTATATCTTGTGACCCCATACACTTGCGAATATGTAATAAAGCTCAATATATATTGCACTAAATGGCAAAAATCCTGCCATTGCCATCTGAGGGATGGTATATCTATACCAAGGCAGTTCTGGGATTTCCCTAGGATACTTTGTGGTGCGGCAAGGAGCTTGAAACTCAGTTCCGCTATTCTTTCCCGCAATACCTCCCAGTACAAGCAATGGGGATGTGACTAGTGTCCATATCAGAATTATAACAATAATTGTTCCAAATGGCAACGCCGCAGTTGCACTATAGGCGATAGCAGTGGAATTAAGGAAGCAGAAAGTTAGAAATAACGGCCCACCGAAAAGGCTCCCTGTCAACAGCAGATTCCTCACCTGTTACACAAATTAAGATATCAGACTCAGCAAAATGATACCACAAACCAAAGCAGGAGAAATTTTCTTGTGGTTAGTTAATACTGAAGAACCGGAAGAGCATCATTCGAAAATGGAAAAGGCAATGAGAATCTGGCAGCACATACCCAATTACTTCCTTCAAGTTGACGATAGAAAGAGGTTGATGTGTAACCAGCAATTCCAGAAGTAAGAGCATACATGAGCAGCAATGCCGTGAATAGAGCACCTCGATTATAGGGGTAAAATACACCAACAAGTCCCAGTAGAAATATGAACACTGCTCTGTATTCAAATGATCACTGATTAACCATTGAATGATCAAGAATTGGCTGATTCAGCCTAGCATTGTTTCAGGAAAAGGCAAGTCACCTCGGCACTTACAGGGTAAACAGCTGTGTACCACAGCCAAGTGCTGCAGCAAAAAGAGACTTGTACTTCGGGAAGCGAAAAACATCACCACGAATGTACTTCCACCCTGTCTCATCTTGGTCATCAGCAGATTCCTCGTCATGTGTGTACCTTCCATTGGTTAACAGATTTATTTTAAACACATACAATTAGAGAATAGCAATCTAGTTAAGTAAATTGCACTTACTTGATGAAATCATTCTTCAGGATTTGCAGGAAATAGTAGCAAGGAAACCATTTAACAATCTAAATTGCACTTACTTGATGAAATCATTCTTAAGGATTCGCATGAGGATGGTAGCAAGGAAACCAGTTAACAAGAGAACTGTGACACAAGAGTTTACAATTGAGAACCAGTGAATCTCCAGATGATGTGGTAGGGATGAATTTTGAGCATATTTATCCATCCTCTTCTCAAAAGGAATATCAGTTTCATTCCATTTTACCGAATATGTGAATTCAGCATCAACTTCTTTATCTTCCGTCAGGTCTAAAACTGAATGCAGATCCATCCTTGCAGTTATATCAATCACTCGATCTTTATTGTACTGAATATCAAAATGGACATGTTCGTATAGATAATATCTGTAATCCTTCTCTGCTCGGCCTTCTCTGTCCACCCTTCCTATTAGACCCCATATGGGCAGGTCATCGTAATACATCTGGAAGTAATAGTCCTTTTCAACTGCTTTTCGAAATTGAGAAACTTCTTCCTTTGTCAGCTTCTTTTTGCACAGGAGATCAGATTCTTTATCCACTAGAAAATCAAGGGAATAAGGGCCGCTAACGAGTCTATCTCCATTCAACACCTCCCCTAGAGCTTCCTTTTTCTCTTTGATATGATCTGTCATTTCAATTAACTTGATATCCAGAGAACAATATAAATAAAAAGGTAAAAGCCTGCGGGCAGAAAAGCTACTGCTAAAACTTCTGATCAGCACAACCCTTATAGTTCTGCTGACCATTCCCACATTGAAGAAGAAAAAGTTCCTAATTAACATGAATTTACTGCATATGAAACTATGATACGACTGCTACAAAGCATTTCGATATAGTCTCTCAATTCAGAAAATTATCCTAGCCCTTCTGAGCTTCATCACTAACCTTGCATCAATATATGAAAGCCAACATTAAATCAACAAAAGGAATTACATCAACATATCAATGTGCACTTTGAACATCAAACTAATTGGGTAATCACTGAATCCCAAATACTTAAAAGTTCGTATGTCAAATGTATCCAAAACGTTTAATAACAATCACAACAAACTGACAGAAGGTGGAAAATTTAGAGACTCGTAACAAAGAAGGGAGCAGTGAAGATATATGTAGTCAGCTTTAAAAGTAAGCACTTTACTTATGATGGAGCAACCTCATATAAAGCAATGTGGTACAGCTGAATTTTTGTGAATTACATGGCTAAAACATAATAGTGCTTGAAAAACAAACATTGCTAAAAAAAACAAAAATTTGGAAGAATGATCGCTTATGCATGGCATCCCAGCAACTCAAATTTGGAGTTTAGGTAAAGAAATGAAATAAAACAAACGTTCAATTCAAATTAATGAAACTCGCTAATGATCTTATGCCTTGGAATTAAATGGATCAAAGCCTGAAGAATGCACTAATGAAAAAAGCGAAAAATTCAAGAATTCATCACCAAATTGAAGAATAGAACCTGGTATACAAAATGGAAGGTCGAAATATCGGTAGGTTTCACTGGAAAATCACAAAACAAAACATAGGAATGAACAAACTTTCTCGCAATAATATAGAACATTCATGAAAACAAAAGCAATCTGAATACAATAATCTACCAACGTTATTCATGTGCATGGACATCTGACTACAATTATGGTTACTGAGGGGAGAAGTGATGAAACCTGGGATTGTGAAAAGGGCCAATCTTGTTAGCATAAAGAGGGACAGGTTCTCCAGGTTGGTAACGATGGTTAGATGCATCTGATCTAACTGGGCTTATTCGGTGGCATAATAAAAGAAAGATGAAAATGGAAATTGGTTTCCACATTTGGGTAGATAGAAAGAAGAGAAGGAAGATGGAAGTGAAATTCAGAGCATCACCTAATGCAAATCATAGAAGGTTAGATTTTGGCATAAAATTTGAAGAGAATCCTAATTAACGTGGATGTGCATATGGTTGGTTCTTCACCGCATTTTCTACATTTTACCGAGGAATAGAGACAGTTAGCTCAAATAATTTTGTTGATTTTTGTCCAAAAAAATAGTTTTGTTGATTATTTTCCCTTACACTATTGGTCCAAATATATTTTCAGATGAGTGGGTCAAGTGTGAAGAATTCTTTTACACTGTCTGGGTGAGAAAAATTAAGGATCACGGTCTCACCAGTTGTGTTATGTCCAGTATAGCCTATTTTCTTTTTATTTTAATTCTTACATTGTTACCCTAGGAAAAATTGATCCATGGTTAAATAGGACCAACATTGGAAGAAAATTTGTAAAATTAATTGACAGATGTTGAAAATTCACAGGCCAAAAATGCAGGCATGAAAGGTTGATGAGGAGGAAAATATTTTCAACTGTATAAAATTTTTTCTCTTTCCTAGAATTTTTTTAGTAAGAGTTTATGGGAGTCTCTTTTTTATTTTCTTTTTTCTTTTAGTTTTAGATTTGAATTTTTCTCATATTTTATTTTATTTGGGGCTTAATTAAATTTATCTAGTCGGATCTTGGGGTTTAGAACTTGTATACACTAAATCTGCCTATTGAAGATATGAACAAACCTTGGAGCTGTAATGATTTATATGTAATTATAACATATTTTGGAGTTTTACAGTGTTATCTTTTATGATTTGTTTATATTTGAAGGAAATTTCTTCTGTCTGTTATATCTGTTGTCTAGCCTCGATGTATTAATTACCATTTGTGCAGCTTTCAATGAATAAATGAAGCTATCTTGTTTATCAAATGACGTATTTTAAAGAATATTTAGTTAATTTTAACTTTTCCAGTTAGTCATACGTTATTCTCGCAATTCTTTTAGATCCCTTAGGGAAGGATTGTCCTTTTTGGCAAAATGGAATCCATCTTCTTTTGCTAACCAATAACATGTATTTTTTGGATATGTACCACAATGGTGCCTTGCAAACAAGGGTAGAGCCAAGATCCCATAGTAAGTGGGGTCAAATTTTAATACAGTAAAATTTAAATTACTAACTTTACATGCATATTATAATTGTTTCCTAAGAGTACTTAGTTTATTAAAACACTGCAAAATCAATTTATTATTAATTATGTTAAATACATCTTTCCAATATCAGTAACTAAAGCTCTCTTGATTTTTTTAAAAAAAATTTTGTGAACAACCATCAACTTGATCTTCTTTAAAAAAATTTGTCTTTACTCTATTATAAATAAAAGTCATAATAACTTAATATGGTATCATAAATAAAAATTTAGCATCCACTTGAAAAATTCTTGTTTTTGGAAACTTTGAAGTTTGAAAAAAATTGGTTTGACCACTCTACTCTAGAAAATTCATCCCTTATTTTGGAAATTTTGAAAGAATTTATTCTCGAACTAACTTCCACAAATAACTTGAAATAAATTCAAATTATTGTGATCATAACGATTCTGAATTTTCAATTATTTGGGGTCAATATATATATATATATATATATATATATATATATATATATATATATATATATATATAAGAGAATTCGGTAAAATTTAGTGGGATCAACTAATATACAACTTTAAAATTTTCTAAACTTTTTAAACCTGAAAACTAAATTTTTGACCCCACTTGCTTGCACGTGGCTCTGCCACAGCTTGCAAATGAATGACTCGTTGCATCAAAACTTGTATCTTTATTTTCTCACTAAAAATGGCACCAAAATAGAGTTGTGCCCCAGTAATTAAATCGAAAGTGCCAGCTAAATCGATCATTTGGATGTAGATCATGATATCCAAAATCATTATCTTTAAATTGACAATGAATGTGGAGAAAGTTAGAATTTTTTGGAAGCCTACCGACTACAATTACTGGATATTGAAACAAAATAGTTGCACAAACATAAACAATGTCAAGATAGTAAAACGATGCAATCAGAGCAAGGAGAAAACTGCTTTTAATTTTTGTATAATTCATTTCGAAATGTGAGGAAGGCATATAGTTTCCATCTACTTCTTAATTAGCAATTTGTGCACGGTAGCTGTATAACTATAAATAATGACACTCTCCTATTTGTTGTAGATAGCTATCAAGTCATATAACCATGGCGTCACTAAGAATTGGACAAAATTCATAAAGGAAATCATAAAGGCTACGGTTATGATGTTAAGGTGGACATTGAAATTAGATTTATTTGCACAAGAATAATACCAATCAAGGTTTAGTTTGGATGAGTTATCTTGTCGATTATGGATGGCTTATTATTTTTCTTGGCAAAATATGGTGCTAAGTTGTTTTGTCTAAACATAAATTTATAATTGGGTAAAAAAAAGAAAAAAAAAAACCCCTTGTGGTATAGTTATCATACACAAAAACCCCATGTGGTTTCAAATCATACACATCGGTATCTCATGGTTTAAAGTAAAGTGAAAAATCAAAGGAAATCGTTAAATTTAACGGGTTTGATGTAAACGCGATAGAATTGCACATGGTTCTTCCAAAATATAATTTTTTAAGACAAATTTTGATCTGAAATACTTGTTTTGCCCCTCAGACATTAATAAAACTATTATGATTTTTTTTCAATTTCGCTCCAAACTTGTAGAAACCGACGATTTTTGCTTATATTATTAGTGAATGAAATTGATGAATAAAAAATCGTTTGTTTTAGGCTATTTTTTGCTTATATTATTAGGGTGTTTCTGTTATTTCACTCAAAACTATTTGTTTTAATAATTTCTGTCAATGTTTCAAATTACTTCAAATCATGAGATATCACATGTATGAATTAAAATTACAAGGGGTTTTTCTGTAAGATGACTATACCACAGGAGACTTTTTTATTTTTTACCCTTTTATAATTACACGAGTAGCTATAGTGTAGAGAAAACAAGAACCGAAAACTCTATTGTAATTTCCTATGTTCCAATCTTTCATGTTTTGAACTTCTATATGTTTATTCACAATTTTTATAATGGTTATCCACTATTTCTAACTGAATTAGACATACTGGCCACAATTCTCTTCGCCCTCTTTTTTTTTTCCTGTTTATAAGTAAACAGGGTTCTCTGTTGTCACAATGGTGATAGCAAGTCGCTTTTCACGATGAAGACGGAGTATTTTTAAATTGGACAGTGAAGATTCTGGAACCATTTTCAATGTATAAAAAAAAAAATTATTGCATATTTCATCTTCTTGTATATCTACATTTGTCATATTGATATTTACATCTCTTGAGATAGTATCTGTATTGTATCCTACTGTCACCTTGATCCAATTTTTCCTCCTAATACATGTTGCTTTGTCCATAACTAGAGTGGGATCCACGTTGATAACATGGCAGCTTCCATGCCATGGTGTCACCTTGTAGTTTGTCCACGACCTAAGATTAATTGTATTTTCTCCTTTTTTTTCTCCTTTGGAATATTGTACATAAATAATATCAACAATCTAATAAAAGCCATTCAATGTTAAGTACTTCGAAAGAAAATCTAAATCACCCAAATCAAATTTTGACAAATAAGATAGTACAAAAATGTAGATAAATAACTTTGAAAATGATCAATGACCAATATAACACTACACAATAGTTGAAGATATTCATAATATTATGCTAACATTAATTTCAAGATTTTATTGGCTACCAAACACTCAACCTCACACTAAAAAGTCCGTTGACTTTCAATAAATATACCACATTTACTTTGAGATTTGGGAGATTCTACAATTTAATTTTTTGGGTATTATACGCTCAAGTTTAGAACTCTGTTAGCTTTCAATGAAGATACTACAAATATTATTGCAACCACACATTTTCAAGAAAATAAAAGAAAGAAAATCCTTACAGCTGAGATGCTTTCATCAAGAATTGCATCTTAAGCATCAAATTGATTAAGCTATTACATGTTCAATTGTCGCTTGATTTGTTGAATACAATACAATTGGACTCCTAACAATATGGATGCCATCATACCACTCAAGTGAGGCAGATGCCATGTTTTCTACTTTTTCTCCACTAATAGTTACAGTAAAAGATTTCCCTTCATTCAAAGCATTGAAAGAAAGAGTGTCCGGCTCCACTTTTATATCACATTGACAAGTACTCTTTGTAACCTTGGCTCTGTATGTAGAATTTGGAAGGCCAACATTGGTAACTCTTCTTGGGAACTCAATTGAAAAAGGCTGTCCATTTTCAACCCGAGCAGTCATTGTGGGATAATTTAGGTCCTTTGATATGAATGGAACCAAAACTGTGCAAGTAATGTTGACTCCAAATATCTTTCTCGCTGCTGATGAATCATACTTCAAGCCGCAAAACATTTTGATATAATCTTCTTTAGGAGTCTCATAAACTAGTCCTGGATTTGTAGCTTTTATTGGATCAAGATGTCCTGCTCCATAAGAAAACTCTGCATCTCCCCAAAGGGTGTTGGTTGAATTCATTTGCCAGGCTACCATAACAATGAAACTTTTGAGTTACAAGTAGTGATGATATTGAAGATGTTAAATTTATATCAAGGAACAGATGTTACCAGTAGTCATAAGAGCTGATTTTATCATTGAAGGAGACCAAGTTGGATTCAGTGATTTGATATAAGCAGCAGCACCAGCAACATGAGGGCAAGCCATGGATGTTCCAGACAATATATTATAGTCTAGATGTCTTTTATCTATTAAAGCATCTGTGGGCTTAGCTTCAGGTGAATATGCAGCAAGGATATCCACCCCTGGTGCAACTATATCTGGCTGTTTAACAAAAACTAGTTTTTCAAATACTGAAAATTTTTAAAAAATACTCTAAAAGGTACTCTTATAGGTAGTCTAAATTTTTTTTAATATTTAAAAATTATCCTAAAATATATTTTAATGACTCTG